GCTCTTGGAGTATTTAATTTCTAGGAATTTTGGAGGGGTGTCTTAGAAAAAATATTTTTACAAAAATAATTTTTTTTAGCTATTGTTTCAATTGTTTAGAAAAATAGAGTAATTTTAATCCACTTTGAAAAGGTATACCATTATCATATTTGAGAAAGATTAGTAATTTAAAAAAAAAAAAAAAACGGCTATTAGTGGGTTGCCAAAAAACTCCTTATTGAATATTTTTGGCAAAACTCCCCTCAACTATTGCAAGGGGTATTTTTAACTGATGCCCGTTTAAGTGATTATCTGAGTAATTTTTTTGGACAAAATTATCCCTTAACAGACTATTATTCAAACAACTTATATATTTATTTTTCTCTCTCCTCTCTGTCTATCAAGCAAGGTATGTGAAGGCAGCAAAAGAAAAATTTCCAAAAAAAAAAAATGGAAAAGCCAATAAAATCATATTTAAGCTAGGTATAGTTTTTGGGAATTTTGGAGGGGTGTCTCATGAATCTGATATCTACAATTATGGAATAATGGTTGTTGAAATGATTGGTGGAAAAAAGAAAATTGGAGCTGGAACAGTTCATTCAAGTGGAGTATATTTTCTGGATTGCATTTACGCACAGTTGGAATACAATAAGAATGTTAATGGTGTTACAAATGGCGAGGAGAAAGAAACAATAAGGAAAATGAGCACACTCAGTTTGTGGTGCATTTAGACTAATAGTCCATCAATGACTACTGTGGTAGAAATGTTGGAAGGAAGCCTTCAATCCTTGCAAATTCCACCTATACCCATCCTATCCTAGGTTGGAACGAAATACTTCTGCATTATTACCGCCAAGTTCTAGTACTGACTAAAACAAAGTGTTTTCAACTTGGATGGAAGAATAACATCCATGGGTTCTATGGTTTTCTTTTTTCCTTTCGGATTGGTTTTTTTCCCTCTTATCTGATCTTGAATTGCAGCAAAAGTAGAATGGCTACTACAGCAATCTTGTAATGCTCATTACTTTTCAAGGATGTCAAGTGATTTATGCCTAATAGATTTTCTTGAAAAAAAAAAGGTTTACACTCATTAAACTCTGTTCACTAGGCATCGCATCATTGGGCTACAAAAAATATCTCGAATGCAATCAACAAATTAGCTCTATCAGCCACCATCTACCAAATCTGGACAGAGAGAAATTCAAGAATTTTTAAGGGTCTCTGCAACTCACAAAATTTTGTACTTACGCGAATTACATCATCAGTGAGAGAGAGGCTTCTTCCGTTATCCCAAAGGGATGGTCTAGCTAATCGCCGTGCCCGTAGTGCTTGGGATCTGCCGTCCATGTTCATCCGGCCACCCCCACGGCCACCCCCACGGCCACCAGATCATCAAATTGAACCACTCCAGTAGCTGGTTCGCCCTTATCAGAGGCATGCTCTCACCGGAAATGACCTAACCGGCTCAATTGGAATTGGGGCTGTTTAGAAGTACACATGTGCCCCTTGTGGGCTTGGTAGATGGGCCTTGTCCCGTGTTGTATTGGGTCAATTTTTTGTCCCTTGGTCTTGGCTTTTCAGCCTTTCACTGTACAGCCTTTTACCTCATAAATAAATTGCTTAGTCTTCCGGAAAAATAATAATAATAATAATAATAATAAGGAATGATTTGGTTAATGTGATCAATATTGCCTAAATTTAAAGTAGGTTGGAAGAGCAGCGTGGTCCTTAGAGGGGTGCAGGGACATGAGCAAGCAGATGTCAAGATTAATGGACAACTAGCAGAAATGGACTAACAAATAAATATATTTATGCACCCAAATGAAAAAAAACACAGGACAAGTCTTTGTTGAATTGAGATAATCAAATTGAACCTATGAATTCAATAAGTCCCTGGTTACTATTATTTGCTTGACTTTTTCTCTCAATCCCTGTAAGGCTGTAATCCCCGTCTTAAAGCTTATCTAAAAAGCCAAAATTTGAACCCTACAGTGAGCCCACCCACCATGACTTTCCAGTCAATCTAATAAACAAAATGTGTACCCTACACTGGGGGCACCATCATTACCTTCCACTCAACCTACAGTACTGTTGATTAATTGTGGTTCAGTCGGTGATTGTCCTACAACGGTCGCGCCACGCTAACGCTCTAAAATGGGACCTCCCCGCACATGAATTTGCTTGACGTTTCTCTCACCTCCCTTTGAAAAAAAAAAAAAAAAATTGATAACTAAATCATTGTATTTTTAGTTAGACCAAAAATGGTAAGAAAAGAAAGAAAGTGAAAATTTTCTTTCTAGTTGTGGTGGTGGTGTTTGAATGATAAATGGTTAGATTTGTAGTCCTCATTTAAAAGAATAGGAGAGAAAAGAAAATAATAATAATACTAATAATAAAAATTTTAATTATGAGAGAAAAGAAAAGAACAAAAATGATAGTAATATCGGGTATTCATGTTTGAGTAAATTAAGAAAGAAAATAAAATAAATGACAGTATGTTTATTTAATAAGGACAATATTTAAATCTTCACTAATGAAAATGTATGCCATTCTGAGCTGTGATCACCATTTTTTATTTGATAATTAAAAATGACGTGCTCATGTGTTATTGGTCCAAATTAATGATTAAAATGGTATAGATCCTAAGTATATCTAGTTTAATAAAGGTAAAGAAGGGAAGAGAAAAAAAACAATGATAAATAAATTACTACCATGTTTCATCATTTGATTTTGGATTTCATTTATTTGGAATTTTTTTTTTCCCTGTTCTTTCTTATTCTTCTGCGATTCTAATTTCTACCTAACTATAATAACATAAATAATAAAAAGATAAGGTAATATTTAATCAATTCTTATATAGAAGTAAAACATATCCCACCCAAAATTACATTCTTCATAGCCGGTAATTCAGGACCACAATGCCCACATTAAAACACCAACTATGTTTTTCATTAATTTTGCTTTATAAAATGATAGAATAAAACACCAATCGGCCAAAAAAATCAGTAATTAGCAAACCCAAATATGATATACCTAAAGAGAAGCAATCAACAATTCAACCACATATACATAGTTAACTATTTCCCAACCTACATTGTCGGTGTGTGCAAGACCCAAACAAATGCTTTTATTTAAAATGACAAAAATGAGAAAAGTGGGGTGAGTTACATGCAGACGTTAACCCAAAGTACAGAATTAGGGGTGGCAAAAATTTCCAACCCGGTGGGGAACTGCCCCCGCCCCGGCCTCATTTAAAGCGGGTTTGGAGAACCGTTTACTTAAATGGGGTGGAAATGGGGGTTAAAAAAAAAAAAATCAGCCGGTTGCGGGGCCGGGGCAGGAAACTAAGATCCCAGCCCCATAACCGTCCCTTTTAATATGTTAAATTACTAATTTATCCTGCCATGTTAATATATTCACTAAATTAACCTTCAATATATATATATATATATATATATATATATATATTGAAAACCCTACCCTACCCTTCACTTTCATACATCAATCAATAGCAGCAGCCGTGTCTCTAAGCTCTCTCTCAAACCCATCATTTAATACAACCGTGTCTCTGAGCTCTCTTTCATACCCTTCACTTTCATTTCGTTATTGATTTTCGTTTAAGCTTCTACACAAATCTTCGACTTGTACACAAATCTTTGGTTTGGTTCAGGTAATTTCATCTCTGGTTTGATTTTATTTTCTTTTTGGTTAGTTTGACTGTGAATTTGGAGGCTGTTTGGTTTTAATTTCATCTTTAGTTGCAGAGAGAGAGAGAAGGGGGCAAGCTTGAGAGTTGAGATATAACAGCTGAAGCTTGCGAACGGCGAACCCAAACTGGAACAGCGCGCGATGGAAATTGAAAGATATGTGTTTTGATTTTTTGAACAATCTGAAATGATATGTCGATATGGGTTTTGAACTTTTGATTCTTGCAGACAGATCACAGATAGATAAAATGAAATATATGGGTTTTGACCTTCTGATTCTTATAGATTTTGTAGTTTGCAGTTAGAGCGAAAGAGGCAAGTTCAGAGTTGAGAACGAGATAGAGATGGAGGCGACTGGGGAGGCTAACATGAGTTGCCCTAAAAATATAATCGGTTATGGGGCGGGGGATGGGGCTGGGGTGGGGCCTGGGGCGGTTATGGGGATTAGAGGCAAAAAATTAACCGGTTATGGGGCGGTTTTGGAAGCACCAAAATTAAACGGGGGCGGGGATGGGGAATGGGAAACCCGCCCCAAACCGCCCAATTGTCATCCCTATACAGAACTCAAACTTCGAATGCAAAGAACACAGAGGAAAAGAGAGCTCAAACGGTGTCAGTGAGTTTCTTACACGGCTCAAACACACACTTTTGACGGTGTATCCAATTAAGGAGTTGAAAAGGAAGTTGAAGATGTCGAAGCAACACCGGGCTCGGAGAAGAGGAAATCGAAGAGAGCTCTCACGGTGAAGGGCTTTGTAGCGAATGCTTGAATGCCCTAAAATTAGGTGGGACTCAAATGTCATATAAATTTTCTTCTTTAAATTGTTGATGTCATTTTTTGTATAATGAAAGTATTACTTAACTTGCTATCATTTTTCTCTAAATCTTTTTATTTTTCAAAAGATAGCTAGTGAGGGATTTGAAGGGATACGCTATCCCTCCAAATCTACCCAAATCCTTTCTTTTCTTTATTTAGTGGCAACCTAAACACAGAAGTTGCTATCCTTTTTTTTTTGCCTTCCAAATCCCTCGATCCAAATTTAGGCTTCGTCTGATAAACAAAAAGAAACAAAAATGATAACATCAGTTATGAGAGAAAATAAATGATTGTAATAACCTCTATTCATGTTTGGATAAATTATGAAAGAAAAAGAAACGAAATGATAGTAATAACATATATTTATGTTTGGATCTTATAAATTTTTCTTTTATTTCGGGTTCGGGTTCTTTGGCTTTTTCGAGTTCCTCGGGCTACTAAAACCTTTGCCCAAACAATGTTCAACATAAATTCGGGTTTTAAAATTTAAACACAGTTCCATCCCACGGTATATTACCCACTCCCGTAATTGAGTTGCTCAGTCTAGTCCCACCCAAGTCACACCCCTGTTCCTGCGACTACAACCATTGCCCCCCCAAAAAAATTAATAAATAAATAAAATAGTAAATAAAATTTTCTCCTTGTATTCTTTGGTGAGGACACCATCAACAAACATCAACTTCTATTCAAATCTGGCTTGCCCTTTATAAATGAGCTTATCTACTCCCCCACTTTGCTTGCACTATCTCCTTGCCCATTAAAGTTATTCTTACTTGATAAAGACTATAATATCTTCACCTCACTTAGCTTCAAACAATTCATTTCCCAATCAATTTTTAGTCTCAACACTAATGAACACCTTCACTACTCTTTACCTCACCACTGTCCTCCATCTCCTCCTCCTCCCCACCAGCCCGGCCGTCAACACACCACCATACACTCCAACCTATTATGTCCTCCTCGACTGCGGCTCATCCTCCAACACCACCTCCATCGACGGACGAAACTGGGACGGCGATGCTAACTCCAAATTCTCACTCTCCAACACCACACTCAACTCTTCATCACCCTCCAACGCCTCCAACATTGACCCCTCCGTCCCCACGGTCCCCTTTTTGACCGCCCGTATCTTCCACTCCTCATTCACCTACACATTCCCCGTCACCGCAGGGCCCAAATTCATCCGTCTCTACTTCTACCCTTGTACCTACTCTGGTCTCGACCCATCCCAATCATTCTTCTCCGTCACTTCCAATCACTACACTCTCTTAAGCAACTTCAGTGCCTTTTTAACAGTTACTTCAGCCCAACAGTCCTATCAAATGTTCACTGGAACAGTACCACCACTTCCAACAGCCAAGAAAGAATTCATCATAAACTTAAAAGATAACCAAACACTTCTTAACATAACCTTCTCACCATCTCCAAACTCATACGCCTTTATCAACGGTATCGAACTCGTTTCAATGCCCGAAAATCTCTACCACCATGGCAATGATGCACACATCCCACTAGTGGGCGAGGATTATTTATATTATTTTGATAACAACACTGTTCTTGAAACCCTTTACCGGTTAAACGTTGGTGGTGATACTGTCGACGAAGATGAAGACACCGGCATGTTTCGGACGTGGGATCAAGATAAAAATTATATGTTTAGTGCTGCTCAAGGGTTAGAACTTCAGACGGATGTTTCGATCCATTACACTTCGGCAACACCGGCTTACACTGCACCTGAGATTGTTTATAATTCGGCAAGGATGATGGGCAACTTTAGTTTAATGTATAATTTGACATGGTTTTTTGGTGTTGATTCAGGATTTTTTTATCTCGTGAGACTTCATTTCTGCGAGTTTCAGATGGAGCTGACTAAAGTGAATATGAGGGTGTTCAATATATATCTTAACAATCAGACGGCTATGGAAGCAGCTGATGTGATTGCCTGGAGTGGTGGAAATGGAATTCCGGTTTACGGAGACTTTGTTGTGTGGGTGCCGGATGTTGACGGTCGCCGGAGCAAACAGGACTTGTGGCTCGTGTTGTACCCTAACCTTGATGCCCATCCTCTCTTCTATGATGTGATTTTGAATGGCTTGGAATTGTTCAAATTGAACCAATCGGATGGTAGTCTTGCTGGGACTAATCCTAATATCTTGGATTCTGAAACACCCAAACCGAACCCGAAGTTACGATCTACTGGTAAGTGCTAGTACAAAATTAACTACTATATATCACAAAGTTCAATCTATGCAATGGCTGTTAGTTTAAGTAACAATAAATTCTCTCTTATGTTACAGGATCAACTAGAAGATGGCTGAAGATTGTAGTAGGTAGTAATATATATCTGTGCTCCTTTCATTTTGCTCCACATTTCATGAAAGCCAATCCTTACATACACTGCCCATACTTTTATATTCCAATAATTGTTTAAAGCCATATATGTTTCTGCCTAAGCTCTCAGTCTATTTACTTATCCAGAAGCCCATTTAAGATATGCACCTTATTCTCTAGTATAACTCTGAATACATGAATTTAATTTCTCCACTCTTTTTGATGCAGACACCTCAGCGGGGGTGGCTGGACTTCTATTACTCGCTGTTTTGGTTACATGCTACATTAAAAGAAAATACTTATGGAGGAGGAAAACAATGAATGATCAAAATGTGGAGGCATTTTTTAGGAATTATGGATCCCATGTACCAAAGCGGTATTATTATTCCGATATAAAAAGAATGACCAACTCATTCAGAGACAAATTAGGTCAAGGAGGATACGGTACCGTGTATAAAGGGAAGCTGTTAGATGGCAAGCAAGTGGCCGTGAAGGTCTTGAGTGAGACCAAGGGCAACGGAGAAGAATTTATCAACGAAGTTGCTACCATTAGTAGAACTTCCCATGTCAATGTAGTCACTTTTTTAGGTTTCTGTTATGAGAAGAACAAAAAAGCTCTAGTTTATGAATTTATGAGTAATGGATCATTGGACAAGTTCATCAATAACAATGGATCTCCAAATTCAAAATGTAATCTAGATTGCAAAACACTCTACCAAATTGCAGTTGGGGTTGCTCGGGGACTAGAGTATCTACACCGAGGTTGCAGCACAAGGATTGTTCATTTCGACATAAAGCCTCAAAACATTCTTTTAGATGATGACTTCTGCCCAAAAATCGCTGATTTCGGCCTTGCTAAATTGGGCCAAAGGAAAAAGAGTATTATGTCGATGGTGGGTGCAAGAGGAACTGTTGGATACATTGCTCCAGAAGTATTTTCTAGGAATTTTGGAAGGGTCTCTTATAAATCCGATGTCTACAGCTATGGAATGATGGTCCTTGAAATTATTGGTGGAAAAAAGGAGATTGTAGCTGGAACAATCCATTCAAGCCAAGAATCTTTTTCGGACTGCATTTACAAGTGGTTGGAACAAAATGAGGATCTTAATGGTACTGTTACAACTGAAGAGGAAAAAGAAACCAGAAGAAAAATGACTATAGTGAGTTTGTGGTGCATTCAGACAAATCCAGCAAATCGCCCATCAATGACTAGCGTGGTAGAAATGCTGGAAGGAAGCCTTCAATCCTTACAAATTCCACCTAAACCCATCTTATCTTCTCCTCCTGTGTTCAAACAAAATTCTACTGAAATAGTACCACAAAGTTCTAGTACTGACTAAAAAAATGGTTTTGAATTGAATGAGAGAATAATATAAATGCGCTCTATGGTTATCCTTTTCCCTGTCAGTCTACTTTTTGCTTGATGCTGATACTCATGTTTGTGTTTTTTCCTCTTATGTTATCTTGAACTCAAGTAAATTGTAGCAGGGATTAAGGGAGAAGCAAAGTATCATAAGTGAAAGTCTAGTATGGGACTACAAGCCCTAAGGTGCTTGGATGTTAAGAAAATTTAGTTAAACCACAATGGTTTTGTTCCCTTTTATTTTCCAAGTAAATATATGGGTATAAATAATAACATGTACAGGTAAGTCCAAGAAATACACAACAAATGGAAACGGCAAGACACAGAGGTACAGAGACATGATCTATGAATACAAAGTAACAATCTTCAGTGCTGAATTAAATTTTAAGAATGTTAAAGCACAACAGTTGAGGAAAAGGACAACGGTTTGTTTATTTATTTTTTTTACCCTGTATAAATAGTAAAAACCATGTATAGGAAAATCATGAAAGGACATAACATTACAAAAAGGCTAAAAGGAAAGGCAAGACACGCATGCAGGTAGAGACAACACATAAGATCACATGATCTGACTTACCAAAAGAGCAAACATTTGAAGAACATAATGCCTTTCGAGAATAAGTGTGTTATTCATTGAAACTGGTACACAATGCTATAAATACACTTGAATTCGTTAGTGACATAACGAAATAATATTTTGAAACTCTAATCTTAGGTATCAACTGTTGATCAGTCCAATTAAAAAGTAGTTTGGGGAATGGTTTTCGAGAATAAGGGTGTTATTCATTGAAACTGGGACAATGACTATAAATCCACTTAAATTTGAGTGTTATTCACTGAAATGAGTACGATGACTATAAATGCACTTAAATTCGTTACTGAAAAAAGGAAACAATATTTTCAAACCCCAATCTTAAGTACAACTCTTGATCAGTCCAATTGAAAAATAGTTTGAAGGTTTTGGAAATTTGAAGTATCAAATAGATTACACACCCATTGTACAAGAAACAAAAAATATTTTATTGTAATAATCTATTACATGACAATACTAGTCATCAATTTCGCATCAATTCATATAAATAACTATATTTTTAAATCCTGACATTACGTCTCAAGTAAGTGAAATCGAATTGAAAAGTTATCTGGGGTTTTAAAATTTCAAAGAATCACCTTCATAACACGAGTTTTTTATTTTAAAATGAGTATCTAAATCTAAATTCAAAAATTACCTGATCTAGGGTTTTGAACGATGAGAAAATGAATACAGATGTCTCTTTGCCAAATAATGTCCGGCAAGCACGGATCTGTGAAGGGCTCAGTGGGGGCATCCGCTCCTACTGAAATTTTTTATTATTTCATTTTACATTCCTAAATTTATATTTTTTTGCATTTATATCCATAAAATTTTGAAATTGCCCCCATTGAAATTATAAAGAAAAAAACCCTTTATATAAATTTGTTCCCTCTCATATGAATTTCTAGATCCATCCTTGATGCCCGGTGATGGTCAAGCTTGCCGGAAAAAATATATAGAGAGAGAAATAGGAAGATCAACGTTGCTCTGATTGGTAAAATTTTGCAGAGGGAGAGAGAGAGGGATGGTTGTTTATTTCGACAGATGCCCTACAAAATTTGCGCGGGAAGGAATATAGAAAGTCCCGAACTGTTGAGTTTCTAAATTAATATTATTATTGTATCGTAATTAACTTAATTCCTTTTGTTTATATTTGATTACCTTTGGATTATTAAGTTAATTTTGTTAAAGTTTATTGCTCCTGAAACACTTGAAGTGAATTATCTAACCGAATAATTTTTAATTGGTTATTTATATCAAATATAATTAAGTAGAGGAATTCACTTTTTTATTTATTGCATAATTGGTCAATTAAAATAATAGGTTTAGCAATTTACTGCAATTATTCAGTGTAAGAATCGTTTCCCTTAAAATAATGAGTTATATTTACTTTCCCTAGCTCGCCAATAAATACACAAAACGACATCGTAAAAGGCCCTTTTTTAACCACCTCATGGATGCGACAAGAATTTTTACTGCAGAGGATTCACGCCTGATTATATGCGCTACAAAACAAATCCTTATAAAGTTATTTACAAATAAGTTAAAAACAAATAAGTGAAAAGAAAGAGACGGGATTTTTCGCCTTCATTGATTAAGTTAGTGGAATTGAATTGCAAATCCTACAAATTAACTTCATTATTCTCAAAGGTGGTGTGCTAATTGCAGTCGAGCAACTGTCATTATTTTTTAAACAAAAATACCATTTTAAATTATGTTTTTCTTTTTATCTTCTCTTTTAATCATTTCATATGAGGATGTGTGTGTGTATATAAAATAACTAATGTGATGTGAATGGATGCTGAAAAATGAAAAAAAAAAAAAAAAAAAAAAAAAAAAAAAAAAAAAAAAAAAAAAAAGAGTTAGGATAATCCATTCACAATAAATGGATCATGAAAAAAAAAAAAAAAAAAAAAAAAAAAAAGAGAGAGAGAAAAAAATCCTAAAAAGAAGTAAAAAGAACAAGATAGATTCTGAGATTTAAAATATATATATACAAAATTAGTTTTATATACTTATATATTTCTTTTTTGGTGACGGAATTATTATTTTTTTCTTTTATTTACTTTTTTTTTTTTAAATCCATTTATACAAGGATAGTTGTAAAAATAAAAATAAAAAAACAAAAAAAAAAAACACACACACACACATATATAGGAAAAAACAAAAAAGGAAGAAATATATAACTGAATTTTTTTTTTTTTACCTTTCTTTTTATTCTTTTTGGATTTTTTTCTCGCACTTTTTTTTCTTCTTCCTTTTATTTTTTTTCCGAATCCATCCATATCTTGTGAATGAATTATTCTATCTATATTTTTTTTTTCTTTTTCAGAATCCATTCACATAACTAACCACACATCCTAGATTAAAAGAGGAGAGAAGAAGAAAAGAATAAAGATTAGATAATTTAAAAGGATATTTTTGTCTAAAAAGCAATGTTAGTAGAGTCCCATAAAAATAAAAACTCAAAGTAATTAATGCATTCAAAAGTAACCAATCCTGTGAATGGGCAGTCACGCAACTACAATTAGCACTCCCCCTCTCAAAGGCCATATATTGAGGTTTAAGTGGATGCTTACATCAAGAATTTATTACATAAACTAGTGAATGATTTAGTTATATTTACACAAGACAGATTGTTACACCAACTTTAATGTGATCAATCCGCTGATACAACCAGAATGGTTCAGTTTCTCCTGGTTTAATTTTTTCTATTCTATTTTAACTAAATTATTTTTAACCCAGAAGTCTAATTTTATCAAGGTGATTGCTATTTTTTTTATTTATTTAACAAAATATTTTTTTTTTCTATAAGAAGAAACTGAAACCCTCATTTATTTTCATGGAGCTTTGATATTTCACATTTCAATATCTATGCTAAGCTTGTTCCTTATTTCTAAACGTTTTTACAATTTTTAATTTGACATTTAAAATTAATATTTAATAGACAACTATATCAATCCATATCTATTTCTCTCTCTCTCTCTCTCTATGTATATATATCTTTTTCTTATACAATTCCTACAAAAAGTAATATATATCTAGGATATAAAATTAAGAATCTATGTATTCCCAACATAATTATAATAAAATAATTTTAATTGTTTGATACTATTCAATTAGAATTTTAAAAGACACAAATTAATCTCATTACAAAAAGTAAAAGTAAAATATATATTCACGTCATTTATGTTATAAAATTTAAATGTTTATGAATTTCCTAACAACACAATTTTACAAATACCATCTACTTATTTTAAAATAAATTTATATTTATATCAGTTAATTTAAAATTTTAATTTTTAATATAATTTATCTAAATTTAAAATATGATTAAAATCATTGACACATCAAATCATCAAAAAGTCAAATCGCGTTTTTCTAAATGAAGAATTTTCTCACAACCAACCAAGAAAGACTTACTTTTCCGTCAACTTGAAAACAAAATGGAACCCTACAATGGGGCCCATCATGACCTTTCATTGAAAAAAAAAAAAAAAAACAAAGAAGAAAAGAAAAAGTAAGGTAAAGTTTATTCACTGTGACAAAAAGATACTCAAATAAATTTTACTTATTTTTTTAAATGAAGACACTTTTATAGGTTTAAAAATAGACAAAGACATCTCTTTATATGAGAAATTGACCAAATTACCCTTTGATCATTTTGAAAACTTTTTTAACTTTACAATATAATAAATTGGACCAATCTACATGAACAATTTATGCATAAAAAAAAAAAAAAAAAAATTATATTGTTTTTTTTTTCTTTGTTATTTACTTTATAAATGTCCCAACTTTTTAAAAATGTAGACGTCTAAAATGATTTTTTGATCCAATACATATATTTCAAATAAATTATTTTTTGTTATTATTTCTTTTCTTTTTCTTTTTTATTTTTAAATTAAGATACTTAATTCTTTCATCTAAAAAAATTAAACCAATCTTTTTTCCTTAAAAAAAAAAAAATGGTACTAGTATAAATATATGCATCTTAAATTATATATTAAATATCATGTCTTTTTCAACATAAAATAAAATATTACATCACTTCTTATCTCAAATGCATTCTCATGATTAAAATTATAAATTTTTTCTCATGGCTTATGATTTTGATGCTTTGGTACAACATATCAATTTTTTTCTATCCCTGAAAAAAAAAAAAAAAAAAAAAAGTTGTAGTTTTTACTGGGGATAGAAAAAAATCAAAACTATAACTTTTTTTTTTTTTTTTTCCCTTTTTTACTAGGGATAGAAAAAATTGATATGTGAAAATTAATTCTTTGTAACTTTTTGGATGTGGATCAAAGCATCAAAATCATAAGCATGAGGAAAAATTTATAATTTTAATCATGAGAATGCATTTGAGATAAGAAGAGATGTAGTATTTCCTTTTTATGATGGGAAATGCATAATATTTGATATATAATTTAAGATGTAAAAAATTATACTGGTACCATATTTTTTATTTTTAAGGAAAAGAGATTGGTTTAATTTTTTTAGATGAAAGAATTAAGTATCTTAATTTTAAAATAAAAAAGAAAAGAAAAGAAAAGAAGTAATAACAAAATATAATTTATTTAAAATATATGTATTGGATCAAAAAATTATTTGACACCTACATTTTTAAGAATTTGGAAAATTAAAAAAAAAAAAAGAAAAGT